GTGAACGGAGCAGTCACCTGCTGCTGGGCGTGGGCACAGTCTAAGCACGTCTTCTCCTACCGATCTCCATTCTCACTTCCCCATGCCCTCCCACCCGTCTCTCCTTACACCCGTCGCCTGGCTGCAGCCCCTTCCCAGCCACAGCTCAGGGCAGAGCCGAGCGCAGGCGCATCCTTGGACGCGATGGGCTTACTGGGGTGCACTGATGGAGCCCCCAGAACAGAATAAATACTTGCCTGAAAAGGGATTGACAGAACATAAAACCCAGCTTACCTGAAAACTCAAAAGATGCAGTTCAACAAATAGGTATCTTTACTCATTTCTTTTCTTTTTTAAATAACACTGGCAGGATAATTGCAAATACCTGTTTTGCCAAGTATGTGCTTTTGCTTAGTGATTTTGCATCCAGGGTGATCTACAGCTACATTTTCTTTTTTTTTCCATTGGGTTCTTCCTAGGATAAATAGCTTGACTAAGCATTCAGAGCTACTACAAACTTATTAGGTATGTAACACAGTGAACTACTTCAAGAGTCATAAAGATAATCCATAAAGCAAACACACAGGGAGTCTGTTCTGTTCACAGCTGTACTGGAGAGGAAGCCTCAACCTATTTCCTTTTTGGCATCTTACTATTCCAGTCAAAGTGGATTGTGTTCTCCATTGTTACCCTTTCAAAAAAAAAGGCAATTATAAAAATGACTTAATAAAAACATACTTTCATATTTCAGCATAATTTGTACGCCAGCTTCTCACAGACTATTCTAGAAAAGTCAGCTTGTTCAACCTAATACCAGAAGAAGGTGAAGTACAGAAAATTAGAGTCACAAAACAGTATAGTAGAAATAAGAACACCTGTAGCATGTAAGGGTCAGTTGTAAAGAAGGAAAAAAAAACCACCCTAGAAGTTGTAAAACAGTCCAAGCTACATAGCTACTGTATTTTTCTAGCAGGTATGTTTTCTATCACAGCCTTGATTTTTGTCACTTTATATTTTTAAAATAACTTAGAATAATAATGAGTTTGCCTGCCAGCAGCCAACTCAAAAACATAATGGAAAAAGAAGAAAAACATAGCCACCATTACAGTGGTGGGGAGAACTCCCCCCAGCAGCCGATTTGTTGTGTCCAGTCCTTTCCCTTCTTAGCAATCCCAATCAGGCAAAGTTCCTGGCTTTATTCAGCTTATTAGGAATGGAAGTTCTTCAATGCAGACTTGGCTTTCCCTGCAAGGAATGGTGATTTTTTTTTTCCCCCTCTCTAGTGGACGATCAACTCTGCAGCGTCCTTGTAGCAGCAAGCCGCAGCATAAGGAAGGGGAGAAACACTCCACCCAGGTGTGAAATGATTCACTGGCAGCATCCGAGCTCTTCAAAGGGTTCCGTCAGCGCTGTCCGCAGTCAATGCTGAAGCCTCAATCGCAGGCTGTGGTTTAACCTCACGTGCCAGATGTTAGCAGCTGCCTGTTTGTTCTTCAGGTAATTTGTTTCATCTTTGCTGACACAATGCCTCAACCGACTGCACAGTTTTCATCGCTTTGAATGCCACGTGCTGTACAGAGGAATAACCTGAGCCGTGCCCCTTGGTCCCCCAGGCCACGCAGCGACAGCAGGACAGCAGCCACCTCCTGCACTAGGCTCTGCCCAGCAGCGTTGACCTGGAACGTAAGTAAAGACAATCACTTGAATGATGCAAATCTTCTCGGACAGGTTCAGGGTGCCTCTGATATGGATTCTGTGAAACCAGGTTTGTGTCACCGCAGATGTTCAAGCCTCTGTCTGTCCCTCTTGCCCCCCCGTGCCACAGGGAATATCTGTGCACTGATGTGAGCGACTCTCCCTTTCCCTCCCCAGATTAACTGGGGCTCATCAGATGGAATTGTTACATCCCCTTGCGACGTCCCAGGACACCCCAGGGCTGTGGTGTGCCGCTGCCTCTCCGCAGTGCCATAGAGCGGGTCAGCACTGCTGGGACGTCACACCCACGGGTACCGCGGGGTGCTCACGTCCCACCCGCCTGAACAGCGACAACAGCACCCGCTGACAGGCAGTGCCTTGGGACTGCGGGGGATTTGAGACTAAAGCAGAGGTGCGGCTTAGGGGTGAAAACACAGACTATTCATACATGTATTTGATTCTGTGTCTCTATCTATGCACCTGTTTGTTTTTCTCTGCTGCCATGAATTCACTTTTTTTTCAAAAAAGTTGATTGGCAAAGCATGAGCTAAAACACTGCCACAATGGTTCATCTATGCTTCCATAATTAGTAAAATGAAAGAGCTGATGAGGCTACATTCAGCCAGCAGTAGAAAAAAACCTAAAAATTGGACTTTGCTAAAATCTGTTTTTCCCAGTCTGGAATCTGAATTGCTAGCTGGTTTCACAAATGCCTTTGTCTCAGAATGATCACTGTGCAAACCTCATTCCTCTCTGAAAGGCTAGGCGTGTTAAGGGATGCGGACAGCTCCAGAAACGTCTGCTTGGAAACCAGACAGCTTCACAGTACTTGCAAGGAAGTAGAGACTTATTTGAAGTCTAAAAAGTATTCTTTCCTACACTGAATAACACAGGAAATTAAGATACAAAATTACTTATTCTAATTCCACCCCCAAAGGGAGAGAAGGCTAAAGGATGAAGACTGACTGTTCCCATTTTTCCAGGAGTCCCAGTCTGGAGGGGGGATTTACACCGCGGCCGTGCCCCATCTGCTGAAATTTGCCATTTGGTTTTAGCTATCTGCGCTGCTTGCTCTGTATCCCATTCTATGCATGTCCTGACGCGGGTAACCTCTGACACAAACCTCAGTGTCTTCCATCTGTCCTTTTCAATGTGATTCTCGGGACTTTCGCTCTCGTAGGAAGCCAAGTAAAGTGCTGCAATCAGAAGCAAACACAATGCATAAGGCCTGCCGGCATGTTAAAATTTGCCCTCCCTGGGAAGTGGACTGAAGTGAAACGAAGCAGGCTTGTACCACCCACCCCTCAGCTCAGGGCTCCAGAATCCCCTTAGGAAGTACAGCATTGCTTATAACTACATCCAGACAACGCTAACAAACAGTGCGTGAGAACAAAGACTGCCCTGAGGGAGAAAAATACAACTAGCGACAACTCAAAAGTACAAGACTGGAAGAAAACACTCAAAAGGAAAAAACTGAGCCCAGGGACATTGCTGTAAGCAACTGGTGAAGTCCCCATTTTCTTTCTTAAGCAGCACCCTGTCGTGTAAAGCATCCTAAAGTCCATATAAACACACTTCAGATGGTATTTCATGGGGACCACGTACCATATCAATTTTTTCTTTCCATTTCAGAGAAAAGGATACTGTGAGTTCTCACAGACCACATGCATAACAGAAGAAAAATCTTACTCTCTCTCTCATTTGTAAGGGAGAAGCATTTTTCACTTGTCAGACAGAGACACCTCAGGTCAAAGGCTTTCTTTGCCATAAGGAAACGGAGAGAGACTGAGCAGGAGCCGGCGACACTGCCCCACAGCAGCCCACAGCTCCTCACCATCATCGCTGAAGACCGGGACAGTGAGCAAGTACTGCAGAACCTTCCGATCCCTTTCGAACGGACACTCCACTTGCTTCCACGTCATAAATTCACTGACTTGTTTTGCCAATTCCCAGAACTTCTGTCAAAAGAGAAAACAGAAGAGGTGCTCTTACAGTGCTATTGACCCAGAATGTTTTTTAAAAAGAGAGAGAAATATATCTTGGTTTCAAGTTCAAGGCTTGGATTCTCCCCGGCTTTTAAGCTGGAATTAAACACGACCTGACTCAACAACTCAGCTTCTAAGTTTTGTATTTCTGTTTCAAACGGGGATGACTTCCTGCTACTCCACCCTGGTAAAATTGTTGTTATTTATGAATAGAAATAGCAGATCACAAGCCACACTCTGTTTCTTTTCAAGGAGAGGATAACACTCCTTATGGCCAACTTTTCCCTTCGATGATGCTCATGCTTGTTTGTTTCACAGTGAAATACGTAGCGATTTTCACATCAAAAATCTCTAGATGCTTAAATGCTGACATTCTGAAATCCAGATGTTCCATTTCAGCTAGTCAATACAAAATGCTCAATTTTCTTGCTGGAAATGTATGCCAAAAATAAGCATTCCCCATGTAGTGCGCTGATGTCATTCAACAACAAACTCTTTTGGGTTTAACACGCCTCACGTGCACGTGGATCCCTTGAGTAAAAGCACATTCCAGACCTGGTTTAGAACCAAGCTAACTCAAGCCAATGACTACAAGGGAAATGTACTGTAATTCTGTGCAAGTGACCCAGGTTTCTTGAAAACTGAAAGCACCAGGAAACAAATCATCGGGTAATCCACACTGTCAGTTAACGTGTGAAATCAGAGGCAGAAAAACTACTGAAAGACAAGGGACTCAAAAATACTCCATTGCTGCTGGATCACATGTTTCTTCAGAGACAATCTGACTTACACACACAAAAATATTGCATATAGATCTTCACCAAAGATGAACTCACCTTTTACCTTTGGAATTCAGAAAAAAGATCTAACATACTAATTTGAATGGTTTTGTAGCTAAGTATAATGAACCCGTGAGTTGAAATGTTTAGATGAATTTGAGCACCCCCGCTAAAAAATTGTGAATATTGAAAGGGTTTCTATGAACATTCATCTTCAGCAAAACTGCATTTTCCTGACTACTTCACAGCTCCTGCGAGAAGTCACAGACACACTCAAATTCCAGACTGATTTTGCTCTTCCCGGAGGACCCTGACTGCCTCCAGTTTTCTGTTAAAGGGGTGACCTGGTATCAACACCCAGCCACTCCTCTACTTACTTCAAAATTGACGTGACCATTTGGAAGACGATTGGCGCAACCCTCGTTGAGGAAGTAAATATCTTTGATCAAGAGGCTGAAGAAAGGTATCACGATCTAAGGGGAGAACAACGTTATTCTCAGTCTGGTCCTGAGTCAAAATATAATGCTCTACAGAGAAACAGAAAAGGAAGTCGGGTGGTCCAAAAGGTAAGCTAAACACCAAAGGACTAAGATCTCTCTGATATCTCTCTCCTTCATTACACTAAAATTTTGCATCCTCCATGGACGTGTTTAAAACAACAATACACCTAACTCGTTCCATTTCTATGTCGTGTCCCTCTTGTTTCCACTTTCTCATTTTCCCTTGAGATTTCAGAACGTAAGAGCTCAGAGATGCCTACTTCTGACACGTAATTCCTGCAGGGGATCTTAGTGTGGCTCTCCCTGTCGACAAACAAGGCTCTCCCTTGGTAAACGAAGGGACGTGCGTGTTAAAGCACAGCATTGCAAATCTGGGGCTGGTGGCACAAATGGCTTTGGAACTACAGTTCCCTGAGCTCACGAAAGAAACTGAACCTTGTCAGTAGTGGTCCTGGCTCAAAACGAAGCATTTCCTGCCAACTGAACAAATCAAAGTGCTTTTCTTTGGAGAATGTTGGAACACTCTTAAAATGATTGTAATTTAATTTGCACCCTACAAAAATTTTCACAGCCACAGATCCTTGTTTTAACTGGGGAATAAAACAAATATCACTATTTCCATGAAGACTCTGCTGTGCCATTTCAATACTCGTAAGTATTTTCTTTGAAGTAATACAACTCACTTGTCTCTGAAAAGAAGCGTCTTGTATTTAAACTTCTGGTGCTCTGAACGATACTTGAACGGATCCTCAGGACCCAGAAAAAATCCTTGGCTTTATTTACACATGTGTAACAACAATACAGACCAGCAGACCGCAGATGGATTTGCTTCATCCTGCCTGGTAAATCATTCATTGAGCACCAAGATCAGGTTTAGTAAACACGGCATGAAGTCCTAATATTATAAGTGGTTGATGTGCTACTGCTTCTAAGCAGGTAGCAGCTAGGAAGCTGTTTGGCTCCTTTCTGCAAGAACTACAACCGAGATTCTGCATTAATGTGTGACCGAATCCAGTTGATTTCACAAAAGATAATTTATTTTAAAGAGTAAAGAAAGATGCCACCTCTATTAACGCACAGTGCGCAGCCACTCCTGAATCTAGAAGGGGGATTTTAACCCACTGTGTTACATAAACACCCAATTCATCTCACCATTTCCTCTGAAAACCTCCAGAGTATATTTAAAACTCATCTGAAGACTGTACAGAGGAAGGAGACTCCACAGAATCTACACAAAAGCTCCATCTAGATTTGAGTTTTAGAATACCTTTTTCTGAGCAGATTTTAAAGCTCTTCCACCCAAAACCGTAAGCCACTTAAAACCGAGCACAAGTAGTAGCCATAAAAACAAATTACTAGCAACATCTTTCCAGTCCTTAGCCTTTCTATCCGTATCACTGGTTTGTGAGATAAAGTTCTCTCTCAAAGAAAAAATGAGCTGAGGCAACATACTTATTTTATTTAAATAATCAAAGCAACTACTTAATGTTTGCAGCTTTCTGTCAGTCCCAAACTGAACCGGCAGCCTGAGATGGCCATTTTCATCGAGCCACCTGCTTTACTCAAACATTCCATTTACTTTCTCGGTAGCTTACAGGTCATATTTAGACATTCTGAGTAAAGAGGGATTGGGTTTTGAGGTTTTTTTTTTTTAAGAGGTCGCCAGGGGTATCGATGCTGAGAATCAGCATCCCAAGACAAAAGCTTACGATGCAACTTAACGAGCACATTTCCTGTCTGCCCGCTGCCCAGTCACTTGTACATGTACCTTCTCTCTGTTGCTGTGAGCTGTCAAGGACCGTTGAGCAGCTCCACGCAGAGCAAAAAAAATAATTATAAAAATTGCTAGAAGGGTCCATCTGATGCTATAAGGCATGAAAAAACGTAAATAATGAGCTTGGGAGAGCCAGTGTCATCACCACAAACCATTCCTTTTCACTTGAGCAAGTATTTTAAAAAGCAGGAGGTCTGCTGAAAAGCACCACAAATACAGCCTTTTAGAGGACGGCAACATCTCTTCATCTGTACTTTCCATCAGAAGAGAACCTTGTTTGAAAAAACACTCACTCAGCACAGCAAAGGACCCAGCACAAGTAGGGGCGGACACCAAAGGCATGCTGCACAGACCTTCCATCTCTCTCCACAAAGAAGGTAGCGCAGCTTTAATTCAAAAGCCAAAATAGTGAAACTAAGACAACAGTGCGTCTTGGCACTAATATCCTGCTCCTCCTACGTACGCAGGTTTCTCAGAGTTGACTGAGCAGCAATGGCGAAGTCAGATCAGACCCCTGAAGCTGTCAGCACCACCCCTCAGCTCCCCACGACTGAATAATATAAGGTTTTGTTCCTGGCTTTTTCTTTATCTTACTAATAAAGACCCCAAATTAACCGATTGCCACTTACAGCAGGACAACTAACCTGTTGGTAAATAATCTGTTGAGTAAATCACAAATTCATACACCGCTGCACCTACATGATCTTTGACACTGGCAATCAATTAGTTCAAGACGAGTTTCTCTGAAAGGTCAAGACAGCCACCTTACAGTTCAACTGGATTTTCAAAGGTGGAACTGCATGAGATCAAAGCCTCTCACATACATCTCCCTTTCGAGAGGTTACCTACAGTTTTATTTTTTAATAATTCTTAGGAGATGGGTTTTGGAATTTAAAAAAAAAAAAAAAAACCTACTTCCATGTCCTTCTTCAAAATCAAAAGAGCACAAGTTGGCTGAAGGATTCTTATTACAACTTCTACAATTTCCACTAAGAGCACAAACACATTAAACATGTTGTAATGAAGCCAGACACACATTTTAGAGAGGTTAAAAGTAAAATGGTATTATCAATCCTCTGTCCAACTATTGGCCAAACTTACCTCAAGAATATCGAATTTGGCTGTCTTCACTTTTGCCCATGTTTTCTTTAACCGAGACACAGAACTCATGTTCATGCCAGCTTGGTATAAGAGAGAGAAATCGTTGAAGCATTTAAAAAAACCCAAATAAATAATTCAAGTAGCTAAGGCTAGTATTTCTAAAGTAAAGGAGCCACTAACAATAACAAATATTTTCAACAGAGCTACTCAGAAGTAAGACTCATAGTTTTTTTGAAAGTCCAACATTAAAAAAGCCTTTGGAAACAAAAATCAACATCTCTTAGAGAACGAAAGCCCTAAAAAAATGCTACAACATTATTTAATGTGGTTTTGACAAAACATGAATACACAGTAGAAAAATGCAAATGAGTTTTCTCAACACTGCCTCTTAAAGATATCATTGAAAACTATACATCTGTGAAGTTTTCAGATTTCAAATGTAAAAAATATTCCTGATATTTCCCTATCAGATATAAAAAGGGTGTGGAATTTTTAAACCACCAGGATATTTATGGTGTGACAAACGACAGAAGACATCAAACCTCCATATTACACAGTAAGAGTTTCTACACCAATTTAGCACTAAAGTTGGTTTCAAAAAGCGGGGATTTAGATCTCTGAACGGTCACAATGAAAACTTTGTTTTTCTGTAATTTACACTACAGCAGTAAATTCTTACATACATAACACTAAAGTAATGTTGAGCGATTCTCCCCCACTTCCCCTCCCAACTTCACACCCTGCCGAGCAGCAGGCATTGTACAAAGCACCACGCGGCTGTTATCCGGACTGGGACAGGGACGAACGTCTCAGGATGCAGACTTACAGATGATAGCCATTAAGGAGTTAAAGTTGCCGATGTTAAAACATTCCCGTGCCACGTCGATGAAATATTCGATCACTCTTGCTCTGTGCTTCTTCTTCACGGGCTGCAAGAGATGTCATCAGGGTGTTATGCTCAGGAGGAAACAGAACAACCCGACCCACTCCCCAAGAACCACCACCCCCGTGAAAAGTCTCTCCCGCATGTACCACAACTTCGCGGTGTGCGTCACGTGCCGGTGTGGCCACACTAGTGTGGTCAAAAGCCCTAGGGACAGCAAACACAGCCCAGACACTCGGCAGGTGGAAGAGGCCGGGCCAAGAAGCAGGGTCTGAAGAGCAGCACGGTGCCCCATGAACGCGGCCGAGGCACGGGCACGATGCTGAAAACACAGCACTCGTTTCCTTTACAGCCCTGCACCGACTTCGGCCACAGCTTGAAAAGCGCAGAGCTGGGAGAATGAGAAGCCTTGGGGGCACCAAACCTGAAAAGGCTTCACGGGTTTCAACAACTCGACTAGACAAAACCTTTCAGCAGAAAAGCCCTTGCTCACCATACAGATTTCTGTCGCGACCAAATAGCTGAGCCTGTTAAACCATTCCACATAGGCTTCCAGGTGCCGGGTC